CAACCACTGCGGTTCAGAGGATGTAGTCAACTTCCTTGATGATAAACTTCCCACTTCTCATGGAGTCTCCAATTTAACTGGATTCTGAGACTGAGGTGCCTTTTAGCTTTGTACCCGATGCTCACTGGCTGCCTTTCCACCAAGCTATCATCAGGACAAGAATCTTTTTAGACTGGAGTCATATTTCTCAGACATATTGATTCGATGTACGGTCCATTTTTCTATAAGTTAAACATATCTATGGCAAAGCTCTCCATAATTGGGGTATCTGACTGTGGAGACAGACGGACACTGGAAGGTTCCTTCTTCATTTGGTTAGACTGACAAACTCTGGTAATGCTCTTAGAGTAACCAATGTGTCCACTGTAGATTTGGTTCAAAGATGTGTGAACCAGACTAGTAGACAAGCTAGATACTGCCCCACCTTAACCATACTGAGGGTTTCTGTGAGGTACCAACACATGGGTGCCAGGTATAGTGGAAGCCACTTCCTCCTTCTATAAGTGCTGCTGGCGCCTGGTGTGTGGCCTGTCGAATGATAAAGACACCTACCATTTGATCTCTCTCATTCCTTTGCCTGCTTCCTCCAGCTGGGGAGCCCTTTCTGGACTCTCCTGCTGTACCTCCCACTGAACCTGTGTGACTCCTCAATCTTTAATTTCTGGTTACTGCTTAGTGTGATCACATTCACATTCCATCATTCAGTGGTACTCCAATTCTCCTCTGCTGACAGAAACTCCCCCATCACGCGCACACCCACATACCTTCTCTTTATTCTCTTCTACACTACTCTGCGATGTCTTCACGTGGTTTGGGGGGAAGAAGGAAGGTGGCAAATGTGCTGTATCTACTGTCAGAATTCTGGGCCTGCAGACTCTGCTTATGGGTAAACTGAGCTCAGGTGGCTCATGGCACGGGGGGGGGGGGGGGGGGGCCAGGAATCTNTCTTGCTTTGAGTATAGGTAGGAGTGTGAGGTTGATTCAACTGAGGGGGCTGAGCACCTTTCTCTGAGTTAGTGTTGAGTCATTCAGTCATTCACTTGGGACTTTGTTGTTCAAATGTGATTTTTTTTCCAAGCAATATCTTACTGTCAGTTTCACACACACACAAACACACACACACACACAGTGGGTTGGACTACATAAATTTTCTTGCAGTTCTAGAGACTGGAAACTCAAATTTCCTTCTCACCTATATAGCTGCCTTCTTTCTGTATCTTCTGTGGCCCCCTTACCTTTTGTATGTAAAGTCAGAAAGACAAACCTCAGTGTTTCTTCCTGTTATAAGGACACCTGTCTTAGCAGATTAGGGCCCCTCAATTATGACACCCCTTAACCTTTAACTACTGCTTAAATACCCTCTTCTTTAAGTGTGGCCATGTGGTGGGGAGTCCATCTTCATCATGGAAGTTTGCCCAATAATCTAAAATCTCAGCATTCCTATTTTCTATTAATGCATTTTCTATTATGCATTTTCTATTAAAGAGGAAAATCTACTCATAACTCATTACAGTTGAAACAGTCTTGAAATAGTGACCTAAAGCTCACACAGAGCAAAGCAGTGAAGTCTATGTCACCAGGATGTCCAGAAAATGCCAAAACTTCTCTCTTCCTGTCCCAAACCTTTTCATGACCAGTCCTGGTTTTCAGTACAGCAGAAGACCCCTAGACCCCAGCTGTAGGTCTACAATGTTTATCAGGAAAAGGCATAAAGCACCAAATGTTTGGGAAGACAAAGAAGCCATACTTCACCCTCATCCTGCAAACTACAGTCCTATTCAGAATGGTCAGGCTAGATTTAGATATGTGGCAAAATAGACGAGATGTATAGATGTAAACATACAACTCCTACATAATTTAACAAAGCTACGGCATGCCAATGTTTTCAGTTGGCATTATTTATTTAAATTAAATGTGTTTCCTTTCCTATTAAAGAAGAAAAAAAGACCTTTGGATACATTGCCCTAGTGGTAGAAATATCTGCTCCTACACTTAAGGAAATTTTAGGACAGAAAAAACTAAAACAAATACTCTGAAAAATTCATTCACCTGTCAGGATGTACACTTCCCAGTCAATGAACAGCTTTGGGAGTCAAGAGCAGGCACCCTTCAGGTAAAATGGGCTATTTGGGAAGTGACTTCCTATCCTGTCTCTTAATTCTTTCCTCTTTTCTTCTTATTCTTCTTCCTCCTCTTCTTTCCCTCTTCCCTTCTTCCCCTCCTCCTCTTCTTCTTACTATCTTTTCTCACTCTCCTTTTACTTCCTCTGATACCTTTCTGCCTGGGGTACAGTAACTTGGCAATGGCATCTTCCTTCCTCCTTCCTTTTGTCTCCTTTAGAAATGAAAGTTAATCCACATCTACACAACACGGCTTTCCCAAATCTTCCCCACCCCCATGAATGGTTGAAGATTTAATAATGAATTGGCACACAGTATGTATTTAACAACTCAAAAACTTGCTCCCAACACTTTGAGAGGCTTAGCAATTCACATTGTTAATGACAATATCACATTAGAAAAAGAAATCAAAATATCTCTTACTGGGTTTGCATTTAGTCAGCCAGTGACTAATGAAATCATAAGCTAATGTCCACCTAGGAAAAGGACATAGATAAAGCAAAGGAAAATTTCCATAAGTTATATGCAAGTTGGGTCATATTTGAAGCCAAATTATGATTCATATGAAAAAGAGCAGACTCTTGATGAAAGATATACAGCTTATTTTAAAATACTTCCTTTCTACCAATGTACATGCTATGTTGATATGAGGGAATGCTTCTTTAAGATTTCTATGTTCCCTAGTCAAACTCACCCATTGCCTCCATATAACCTTAGTGTTCAGAATCTAGCCTGTTTGTTACTGTTTTGCTGTCAATTTTTCATAGAACCTGTCAAACAAGTCTGATTCCTGTTTCCCACTTTTCATCTGTTTTGTTCCCCGTCCAGTGGATAAATGTTTTATACACAGAATTCAAAAGGAACTCGTCTTTGGGTATTCTCTTAAAATAGAGACTTGGAATCAGAAGGAAAGAATGAAGGAGTGAGAAAGGAAGACGGGGGAGGGTAGTGCAAGCCCCTCCCTAGCAGCCCGTCAATCATAGGGGCAGATTCCTCAGAGGCAAAGAGAGGATCGATGTAAACAGGCTTCTAATAGCTAGAAAGCATCCATGCGTTTCCCTAAAGACCGTGCCATCTGCCAAAACATTTGATTCCAAACACCACCCCGACTGTTAGCCAGACTTAGAGAGAGGTGACCAGAAGGGGACCTTTGGACCCCCAGGGCGTGTGACTGAGCTAGAACACTTCCCCTCTCCGTTGTCTGCCTGGAGCTGGAGGTGCTTGCTCATGGGCAGAGGCTCATTACCATGTAGAGAATTGGGGGGAGAGCTACTATGAGACTGCGGGAGAGGGATAGAGTGAGCACCACATTCATAGAGCCCAGAGGCGCAGCCATGTTTCAAAGGGTACACGCTCAAACACGGGCTGACCCTTGGCACTTCGTTTGCATATTCAGTACACTTGAGCCAGAAGATCTAAACTGTGGCCTCTTGTCAGTAAATGCCCCAGTCCTCTGAAGGGCAATGGTTTAAATTAGAGAGCAGGCAAGTTGACAGAAGTCCAGAGGAAGTTAAGGACTTGCCAGCACCGCTAGCATTTTTTTCTTCTTTCTCTGGCAGCACTAAAATATGTTTGCTCAAAACAGAGCAAGATGAAAACCATTGGCAGTCAGGACTTCTTAAAAGAGGAGGGGAAAGAGTGAAGAGAAACATGTTTTATTTCTCTGGCAGACATACCAATTAAAGTGATACTGTGTTGTGACAAATTACTGAGTAATTAATGCCTAATTGAGCAGTTTGCTATATGCTTCTACGAAAGTGACTTAAGTGTGCCTGAGTCAACCTCACATTACGGTAGAACAAACCTTTGCTAAGCAGCATACAGTCGCATTCTGGACGCAAGGAACCCCAAGACTAAATAAAATGTTGTTTTGTTTTGATTTTTTTCTTTAAATCTCTGAGAGTTGGGCTGAAAAAATTGGCTTGGCAAGAAGATCCCAACACTGAAAATCCTCCTGGGGATTTTATGCTTTCCTCGTTTGTAAGCAAAATCCATTTTCCATGAGATATTTTTAGCTCTTGTATCCCCTGCTGTCCTATTAGCTTTCAGTATACCATTAGATCTTGAGGCCATTCCAGATGGGTCATGTGATTTCTAAGCATCCCTTTTCAGTTCCCTCCTAAGTGACTAGTCTTACAGAAGTCAGAGAATACTAGACCCTTAACTACCAAAGACCTCAGTGTGTTGTTATGAAGCCTTGTTTCTTACTGATAGGATGTTAAAATGTTTTCCAGCTGCCTCTAAGAGGTCAGCTTGGCAGAGTGCACTGGGTGACCTCAGATAGAGAGAGGTTTTCAGCCCTGCAAACTGCCTATGTAAATATAAAAATGTATTAGGCTGCAGAACTGTGGCGGGGGACAGAAAGAACAACCACACCATTGAGAAGAAATCACGCTGAACACTGGCATCTCTCACATGGTCTGTTATGGCATGCATACTTTTGATAAACTGTCTTGATTCAGGGTACTCTACATTTCTAATGTCAATTTCTCTTCTGGAATTTATGCAAAGTAAAACACCGATGACTTAACGTCGTAACCAAAAAACTTCCTTCCGAAAGTGTTTACATTTTTTAGAACAATTGTTTGTCAGTCAATACACCTCCTTTGCCTTGGGAGGAGAAAAGTTAGCATGAAGTCTGATTTTCAGTTGTTTAATTTGAAGAATGATTTATGGTGTGGGTGGGTGTGTGTGGTGTGTGTGTGTGTGTGTGTGTGTGTGAGAGAGAGAGAGAGAGAGAGAGAAAGAGAGAGAGAGAGATGTATTTACCCAAAACTCTGAAGCAAGAATCCAAGACAGTCCCTGCAATGAACAGAAAGCATGCTTTTGAAATGCGCTGAGAAATCCTTTCTAGTTGAAACGTTCTGACGTTGTTGAGTGTGTTCAGTTTCCGTGGATCAAATCTTCCCCATCTCTGCATCCAAGCTATTTGGCCGTGATCAGATGATCATAGCTCAAGGAAGTGATTGGAGGGCGAGCCGGCTGCAGCTGCCGTGTAGGCTTGTGCTCAGGGACAAGGAGGCACTGTTTTTCAAACATAGCATCAACATAGAAGTTATTCCGTAGGCTCCAGGATGCAGCGATGGGCTGCACTGCCAGCATTGTTCTGCTTCAAGCTTTTCGCTCTGTGGTCCAGAGGAGCTGTCCACACATTTGCAGAAGACGCCAAGAGGAACCATCCCATGAAATCGTGCCTCTCGAAAGTGACGATGAAATGAGCAGACCCAGAACCCTCATAATGGTACTGTATGCTTAGCAAACAGACTCTTTTGACTGAACTGCTATTATGGAGATAGACGCTGCAATTTTGGGGAGGGTTTGGTGTTTTGGCTTCGGACCAAGATATGTATGACCTAGAGTTTGCTACCTTGTTGTTGCTGTTTCGGGGAAAAGCATCTCTCGGTAGCATTGCTATCATTAAGAGGACGGCTTTTCTTTCTTAGATCTGTCATTTAAATGTGTGGTGTGTGTCTGTGAAATCCTCTGCTTCCTAGCATTTGTATGATGTTAACTCTGCAGCATGGAAAGAAAAAAAAAGAACAAAAAGAAATTTGACATTTAGTTTCAGTGGTTTCTGTTGTAAGTCTTAATTTGGAAGAAGAGCCCAGATATGGTGGGTTTCTTTGTGTATCGCCTATAAACAATCATGTTTTGTAGATGCTGACAGTTAGATCTCTAACTTCAAGAGATCTGGGGTTATTTTTTCTGTCCTTTTCCTGACTCTGAAACAGAAATGCTTTTTCAAAACGCTTAGTTAACTTTGGCACAAAATCAGAGTAACGTATTAAGAGTTATGTGGAATGCGTGATATTTTCATTTAAAAGTTGTTTCTTACCAATTGTAAAATTCTATAATTTTTAAATTTGTGATTTTATTGTATCAGTGTTGCTCTTCTGTGCTTCTGTTTAAGCAGCGAGGATGAAGTAAAGAGTCCATTCTAACTTTAAGATTTGGGGAAGGGATCTGTTTAATCATTGGAATCCCCTGTCAGGATATAAATGGTGAGCTCCACTTTCCAAAACTGGGGATGTGTTGAAGTCAGAGTGCTTTCAACTCAATTTTTTTTTTCTTTTAGACTTTGGTGTTCAAGGATATAGTAAATAATGAATGAAAAATACCTGTTGCATTAACAGTTTTTAAATGAAAGTCATTTGGTCCTGGATGTGCCTCTGAGTGACAGGTGAACACAGTGTAACTTTCTATGCCTTCTCTTTTGACAAATCAAGGTTTGGGTTTTCACAAAGCAATATTGCTCTTGAATTGAGGGCTATGACTGTCTCTTCACAGAAGCAAAATGATTTCACACTTATTAACCCTATAAACTTAAAAGGGTTTGAGATTGCTCAAAGGTCAAAAAACCTTATTTTCTAACATTTATTAATAGTATCAACATATCCATAGATTCTACACAGATGTGTTAATGACACCAATAGTTTTTCTAATTAGATTATAATTTTTTTCAAAATAAGCAAAATATTTTAAAGTATTCAATAGCTGTTTACTATTTTCTACATATCCTTTTAGTTTATCTAGTTCTTTTACCAGAATTAAATGGAATGATAAAGAATTCACTATGGGTAGAACTAACTCTTATCCCTATATTTTAAATTTATAATGTTTCATCTTATATGAAACCACTTTTACCTACAAATACTTTTTTTTGTAGCATCTCTCTCTCTCTCTTTCTCACTCTGTGTGTGTGCACGTGTGCACGCATGTGTGTTTGGGATGGCAAATGAATGTTTTATCATGTTTTTTAATTCAGTAACCTTAAGGCAAATGAAAAGTCCTAAACTCAGGAAACAAAAAGAATCCACCATGTCATGATAATATACTATACATTTAAAAATCTAAAAGAAAGAATTTTGAATGCTATTTCACCACAAGTAAATGACAGGTGCTTGAGGAAATAAATGCCTATGCTGATCTAGACATGATGCCATGAATATGTAGATTGAAATACTACATGGCATCCCATAAATGTACACAACTGTCATGTGTCAATTAGAAAGTTGAGCATGTTTAGCAAGAACTTACTGGTGACAAAGTAGAGGTTCAGAAGACTGGACCCCTTGTTCACATCCTAGAACTGCTAAGTGTCAGCTCTGCAGGCCGCAGGGCCCACTGATTCCATTGCACTATTCACCCTGTTTCCTCCTCAAAGAGAATAAGGATGAAAGTGACAAACTCACTGAGTTTTCATGAGAAACTCTGGAGCCACTTAGAGGAACATATGCTGGTACAAAGTCACTGTGACCCTTGAAAATGTCCTCTAGGGCAGCTGCAGGATTCACACATGCAGCGCCATGAAGAAATGCACCAGGAATCTCTGCCCTGGCTGCAAAGCGTGAAGGTCGTGGTCATTTCAGGCAACTTTTTGAAATAGATGTGTTGTATTAGGGCTGTACTATTTAGTGAACAGATTTGTTAATGGGAGCATTGCCCAACTTCCAAGGTGTTGCTTTGACAGTGTTTGCTTGTTTCCACTTCATAAGGAGGCTCCTATGTGTGTGGATCCTAGATCTCTGGACTCCAGTGATTTTATATGAGAAGGCCTGGTGAGGCTGCTGGGAATCTGTGCTTTCAGCAAGAAATTCTGATTTATCCTACTAGAGCAGTGGTTCTCAACCTTCCCAGTGCTTCAGACCCTTTAACACACTTCCTCATGTTGTGATGACCCCCATCATAAAATTATTTTTGTTGCTACTTCAAAAACTATAATTTCACTACTGTTATGAATCATAATGTAAGTATCTGATATTCAGGGCATCTGATATGAAACCACCGTGAGAAGGTCATTTGGTCCCTGAAGGGGTCATGACCTTCCCGTTGAGAACCAGTGCAATAGAGAATGACCTGGGATGTGTGAGCATGGCTCTGTTTTGAACTCTCCACCTTGCTCTCCTTCAACCTGATGAATCTGAATTTTGACTCATGCATTTGAGAGTCTCTAGAAAATAGTAACAGACTCTGTGGTTACAGAGGGCAAGCTTAGGAGCTGTGAGAACATCAGCAGTCAGAAAGCTATTGCAGTGGCACCAGCTGAAGTCCAGTATGCCTTTCTCCTGGGTTAGTGAGAAGTGTTTGGATTCTGGTGACATGTTGGTAGCCAAACAACTAGTTTTTGCATAAGTTACTTACAAGGTGTGGGGAAAAGAAAGCAGTATGGGTTTACTGTGCACATGTCTTTAAAGGGTTATTAATTTTTTATCATATGTGTGTGAATGTTTGGCCTACATATATGTATCTGTACCATGTAGCTTGGTGTCCACAGAAGGCATCCAGTCTTGTGGAACTTGGTGGTTGTGAACCCCTACACCTAGCTCTTGGAAACTGATCCCAGGACCTCTGCAAGAGCAGCAAGCACCCTTAACTGCTGAGAGATCCCCTCATCCCCTGCTGTTAAGTTTTTACCTGGGTATTCAGAACCAATTTTTTCTTTAGTAGGAAAGTGTATGAAAACAGGGCGTAGGAGTGTGGCCCTGCCCATTATAAAGGTACTGAGTTCTCAGTGCTTTATAGGTCTATGCTGACAATGTCAAGTAGGAAGCTAGATGTGTAACTCTGGAACTTTAAGGAAGTGTGTCCAGAGGAGTAAAGCCTGACCCAATGTGAATACCAATGAATGATTGATGAAGAGGCAAGCGGTCACTTTTCTGATGCACTGTATTGTGTATGATGTGTAAGTCCATTTCATAGCTAAACACATATTGCCTTCTAACCTGTCTTGGACTGAACTTTTAATTGCTAATTCACTATTTATATATTTTTCTTTTATTGCTGGCATATGGGAAATAGGTAGGGACTGAGTATGTTTTTTTGTTTGTTTGTTTTGTTTTTTTTTTTTTTTGGTTTTTGTCCTTTTATTGCCTCATTGGTACCCAGATCAATGCCTTTTATCCTTTTATAGACTAGAATTGAGTAAGGACCTCTGGACTGGCATCTTTGAACAACTAACACCAAGATGAAAACTTGATTAGCTCCTAACTCTTAATTAAACTGCACAGGGATGAGCTGAGGCGGGAGGTGCACATAAGGGTTGGATACTGATGTCGTGCAGATGTGGTGTTGCCACTCAGAACGTGATACTGGTATCTATCTTAAAGAATTTCATTTGAGTGTTCTCACTCAGAAATCAGCTTGGGCTTTATGATAGAAGTTTGGGTGTGTCATCCAAACTAAAGAGATTTGTTAAACATGAAAATGAAAGATTTCTTTAGTCCTTTTGCCATTTATATGGGACGCATAAATCCTGACAGTTGAGACTATTAGAATTCAATGAGGATAAACTGATAAAATGTTAAGACAGTTTTTCAAAGTATGATGCATGTTCCTGTGGGTGTGAGGAATGTTCTTGGGGATATGAAGACAGAAGTTAGCCTTAGCTTTCATTCCTTAGGGCATTTTCGACTTTATTTTTTGGGACAGTCTTTCTCAGTTGTCTGGAAGTTGCTCATCACCCTAAGCTGACTGACTAGCAAGCCCCAGTGATCTGCCTAGCCAGTACTGGGGTTTCAGGTGAGTACCACCATAGCTTTTTTCTCTATATTTTTTTTTATATTATTGAGCTATACATTTTTCTTTGCTTTTTTCCCTGCCTCTCCATTCCCCTTCAACCCTCTCCCATGGTTCCCATCCTCCCATTTTACTCAGGAGATCTTGTCACCATAGCTTTCTTATGTGGGGTCCAGAACTTAAACTTGGGTCTTTACGCTACAGTAACCACTTCACCCATTCAGCTATCTCCCCGCCACCTCAAATATTTATAAATTGTTTTTCTTATCCCACTGACAGCATGTTTTGATAAAGTTTACACATAGCTAAGTTAATATGTATAGGTCTGTTTTCTGGTTAATTCCTGTAATTTCGTATGTCTTATAGTCACTGCTCATCCCAGAGGTTTTCTTCATTTTTAAGTCTTTTATCCCCCCTCTCAAATCAAGAATGATTATCCACTGATGCAAGAGGAGACTGTGGAGCAACTGTCAGGTAGGCTTTTGTCTCCCTCTGGCTATATAATGAATTCTCCCATAGCAGAGTCGCAAGTCTCAACTAGAAAGTGAAACATTTTCAAAATTCATCAACATTTTGTGATGATTCTGAAACAGTAGAAACCATAAAATTTAATTTTGGGGATAATGAGGATATAGTGTATACATAAAACCAAATTTGGCTCTGTCATTAATATTGCTCAAAGGCCAAGAGATAAAACAACAATGTAAAGGTGTAAAGTCTGTGAGG